TTTTGCGTAATTAACAAACGGTTCCAAAATTTGGAACCGTGAGCATATTACTACGAAGTTCTTTCCACAGATCATTACTGGCCTGACCTCTAGTAAATACTTCATTTTTACAAATAACATCTATTGATTTTGGTAAACTATCCAAAAATTGCAGTTTTTTGTTCCAAATCATCATCATCATTATCGCATTGTAGTAACCGCCGTAGTAACTATCTTTAGGTGCGCCACTTTTAAATGTTTTTAATTAAGGGCCTCTGGCTTTTCTACTACATCTACGTTTGCTCATTTGAGTAACCAATCCTTGTAATGTGTAAATCCTAGGAACATTTTTTGACAGCTTTTTAGAAAGAGTGAGAGTATAGTTCACTTTTACATTAAAAGAAATGGCTGCAACTGTACACCGAATATTATATTCTCCTTTTACTGCAAAATTAATTCTTTTCTCCAACAAATTTAGCTGCGATTGAATTATATGTCTCTGCAGCATTATTAGCCATGCTTTATAATACACGGTGGCTGTTTTGAACCAGCCTATTACCAGCAGATACAATGTCATCCATTTGTCCGCATTATTCAATTTCTGTTACATAATTTCTGTCGTTTTGTGCAACAATGCATACTATAGCTGAAGATATCGCCATTGGCCCAACGGGTACCTGCAAGGCAGGCACATTTCTGATAGGAAAATTGTTCTGTTATTTTATGTAATGTTGTATATATTTTAAATATTTAACAGGTGAATAAATGTTTTAAATAATAATAATAATAGAGATTTAAGCAAGACACGACGGTGGTAGTAAGAGAGTTAAAAGTATAAAATAAAAAAGAGAAAAATGAGAGCTCACAGCCTTAAACTTATTCATACAGGATTCGATAGTCGTAGAATACTTCTTGTTCACCATCGAGTTTTTAAAATTATTGTTTTTTTTTATTCCTTTTTTGCTCTTTGAAGAATTATTTATTATATATATATATTAATATAATTGTAATAATCGTACACATTGAAACGTTTCTATCAGACATTTAATATTTTCCTAGTGTTTTAAATAACCTAACCAAATTGCTTTATATCTGTTGTAGCTGAAATTCTTTGACTGCAGTTGCATCCGATGCAATAATTCCGTTCGTCTATATTGGATCATCAAAGTTAGGTAGAGATAATGAATTGGATGTACTGCATTCCAATAATTCCCATAATTTATTAATATACCTATTCGAGTTATACTATTATCAAGAGGCAGCATAAGGCAGGTATTGTATTCAGATTTATTCTAGTTCTATTTTCGGGAGCATCTTTAAACGGCAGCCGAATGTTTCCTTTCATTTGCGGTGTCCCTTTATACTCGTAGTTGACTTATTGTTTAATACAACTATTTATACCTGGACCCTGTTGCTATGACATCCACAAAACTGTCGCCAGTCTCCCCCAGGGTTTTCAAGCAATTGCAAAACAATTCGAAATCGTCGGAGCGCAAACGATACGTCTTAATAATTACCTTTCCTCAATTTTCTGTCGTACTTATAACGGATTCCCAAATTAGGCCTTTGATAGCCGCGTACAGCGTTATGCGATTTTCCGCTACATATTTCTAGCCGGTTGACGAAATTTTACGCCGTCTCCACTTCGTGAAAGACAAACATCTAGTTGTTGTTCTTTTGTTTTTGCCTTCGGCTCGAATGTGGTTGTGATCTTCCGCCCTAAACGTATTAGCTTTCTACACTGGAAAAAGTAAGTAAATAATGTTTTTCATTTATGTTATAGTCTGTTTTTTATTATTTGAACTCGGGGTGGCTGTGTTAGTCAAACATAGCTCACTCGGTATGTAACGACTGATACTGTCATAGTTATTCTAAAATGTAACGTTGCCAACATCGCCTTACAAAACTCATTAAATATTTTAATCTTTTTTATTGCTATATTTAAAGTTAAAAATTTAAATTTCCCTTGTGTAAAAGGGGGGAAAAGGAGGAAGAGAGAAAGAGATAGAGAGAAAGAGATAGAGAAAGATGTGCTTAGAAAAAGACAAAACTTTAATCTAGTAAACAAAGGACAAAAGACAAATTAATAAATGTTCATATAATCACCAAACAATATGAAAAATAAAAAGTGTCAGGCATGTTTTGATTGATGATCGAAGCGCTGTCCATTTAATGCACATAGTCAGGTTCTACTATAAAGAAGAAAATACTTGTGAGTGTCCGTGAATACTTTAGTAATTACTTATTATCTTTATTATTATCCTAATCTTATTTATTATCTCAATAATCTTTTATTATCTTATCGTTTATTTCTTATCTCTGTTTTGTCTATTTCATTTTTAAGGCATAGTACCTAGGAGTATAAAATATGATCACGAAGGAATATGACGCGCGACGTGACCCCGCCTGACTTACACTTGAATTAATGAAAATAAACATATACAAGGTAAAAAACATATACAAGGTAAATCCATTGTTGATGCTTTAAGTCTGCTTTTTTCTTGGCATTCCTAAGTTGAAATAACTTTTTTTAATCGAAGATTTTGAAATGTTTGTCAAAACGTGTATTCTTTCTATGACACCGTAATTAGATCCATTATTTTATAATTTAAATTGGTGGTACATATTTCTAATAACTTTTGAAGGTGATATCCACATACCAAATTTTTGGTTATTTTCAATCTCCTCCTCCTCCTCCTCCTCCTCCTCCTCCTCCTCCTCCTCCTCCTCCTCCTCCTCCTCCTCCTCCTCCTCCTCCTCCTCCTCCTCCTCCTCCTCCTCCTCCTCCTCCTCCTCCTCCTCCTCCTCCTCCTCCTCCTCCTCCTCCTCCTCCTCCTCCTCCTCCTCCTCCTCCTCCTCCTCCTCCTCCTCCTCCTCCTCCTCCTCCTCCTCCTCCTCCTCCTCCTCCTCCTCCTCCTCCTCCTCCTCCTCCTCCTCCTCCTCCTCCTCCTCCTCCTCCTCCTCCTCCTCCTCCTCCTCCTCCTCCTCCTCCTCCTCCTCCTCCTCCTCCTCCTCCTCCTCCTCCTCCTCCTCCTCCTCCTCCTCCTCCTCCTCCTCCTCCTCCTCCTCCTCCTCCTCCTCCTCCTCCTCCTCCTCCTCCTCCTCCTCCTCCTCCTCCTCCTCCTCCTCCTCCTCCTCCTCCTCCTCCTCCTCCTCCTCCTCCTCCTCCTCCTCCTCCTCCTCCTCCTCCTCCTCCTCCTCCTCCTCCTCCTCCTCCTCCTCCTCCTCCTCCTCCTCCTCCTCCTCCTCCTCCTCCTCCTCCTCCTCCTCCTCCTCCTCCTCCTCCTCCTCCTCCTCCTCCTCCTCCTCCTCCTCCTCCTCCTCCTCCTCCTCCTCCTCCTCCTCCTCCTCCTCCTCCTCCTCTTCCTCCTCCTCCTCCTCCTCCTCCTCCTCCTCCTCCTCCTCCTCCTCCTCCTCCTCCTCCTCCTCCTCCTCCTCCTCCTCCTCCTCCTCCTCCTCCTCCTCCTCCTCCTCCTCCTCCTCCTCCTCCTCCTCCTCCTCCTCCTCCTCCTCCTCCTCCTCCTCCTCCTCCTCCTCCTCCTCCTCCTCCTCCTCCTCCTCCTCCTCCTCCTCCTCCTCCTCCTCCTCCTCCTCCTCCTCCTCCTCCTCCTCCTCCTCCTCCTCCTCCTCCTCCTCCTCCTCCTCCTCCTCCTCCTCCTCCTCCTCCTCCTCCTCCTCCTCCTCCTCCTCCTCCTCCTCCTCCTCCTCCTCCTCCTCCTCCTCCTCCTCCTCCTCCTCTCCTCCTCCTCCTCCTCCTCCTCCTCCTCCTCCTCCTCCTCCTCCTCCTCCTCCTCCTCCTCCTCCTCCTCCTCCTCCTCCTCCTCCTCCTCCTCCTCCTCCTCCTCCTCCTCCTCCTCCTCCTCCTCCTCCTCCTCCTCCTCCTCCTCCTCCTCCTCCTCCTCCTCCTCCTCCTCCTCCTCCTCCTCCTCCTCCTCCTCCTCCTCCTCCTCCTCCTCCTCCTCCTCCTCCTCCTCCTCCTCCTCCTCCTCCTCCTCCTCCTCCTCCTCCTCCTCCTCCTCCTCCTCCTCCTCCTCCTCCTCCTCCTCCTCCTCCTCCTCCTCCTCCTCCTCCTCCTCCTCCTCCTCCTCCTCCTCCTCCAGAGTGTTTCTAAATTCATGCGACAAAATTCAGGAGGTGATTGCTCGTATAAAATTAAGATGGGTCTTTCCTATAACAAAATTTCCTCAGCCCACCCCTTTCCGAGATATCACCCTTAAAAGGTGCTGACTAAAATTAAGTTTTTATTTTTTTTTTTCTAAAACACCCTGTATATACTGATATTTAATTGTGGAATAGTAAAATTCATCTGTGCCGTCGACTATACTCGAATCACATTCTACTGAATTACAATAACCGGTACATAATTAAATCGTTATTCATAAGAAAAATCAGTAACAAAAACAAAAACGTAAACAGACTTATTATTTAGCGTAAATTTTCATATAGGTAACTTTTTTGCGATTATAATACTCCCCTTTTGTAGAGGGAAGTAAAAAAACAAACTACAGAATTTATCCTGTAGATATTAACAATATTTGGAAGTATGTGCACGAATTTACTCACTCAATCGTTGTTATATATTGGTTGTCATAATATATTTGTCATAATACGGTTGTCATAATACGGCTGTCATAATAAGGTTCTCATCATACTCATTTTATTATTTTTCTTATATAAATATAATTTCGTTGTAGACTTAAATATCAATACATTTTTACTTTTTTAATTCCAACTCGTGACAATAATTCCAATCTTTGGGTCTGATATTTAACATTCATGACATTTAAAAAAAAATAGATAATAATTGTACCACTTACCCTTAAAAAAACTTGTTAATTGAATTTAGTATTTTTACTAATTTTCTGTATTCCTATATACCTATTATTTGTTTCATATTAAAAACCGTATTTGAAAATATATAAAGAAATTTTATACAAACTTTTTTCCAGTGTATTAACTTATATATGCAAATTGGCTGCACCATTTCTGGAATGTATTATACGGAAGAAATTTACTACAAAATGCAGGTGGCGGGCATAATGATGATAGTATTTTTGGGAACCTTATCGGAAGTTTTAACTGGCGAAGCTCTTTCGAATTCCATTCTCTTAGATGATATTTTGTCGGAAGATTACATGCCAGGCACTCTACTGATGTTGGAAAATCCGAAAGGAATTAATAAATTTGATAATAATTATACGGAATATAATCAAGAAGATGACAGAGATTATCCGAAATTGGATGGAACATTTCGGAAAGCTATGGAAACGATGGATTTTCATAGGTATTAGCAGGTTTTAATAACATTTTTTATTATTGCTCTTTGAGAAGTCAGTGTTCAAATAATGATTTTTTTAGAAATTTTATTTGTGGTTGAACACAATCGGGTCTAAGTGACTTTTTTTTTGAGTAAATTAAAGTTAGAAAAATAGAAAAATAAGAAAATTGTCATTATGTTTTTAATTTAAAATCTTATTCAGGTCTTTGCCTTTCAATATTAGTTTTTAATTTTTTGAATTTTAGGCATTTTTATATACAGGGTGGGCCAAAGAAAACTTTACACCCCTATTTTCCAGCTTTATAACGAAAATCGGGAAAAACGCTCGAACCGGTCGATTTTTAATTCGAGGGGGAACAACCCCTTGTTTTTGTATAGGGGTGAGGGGTCTTGCAATAACTCATTTTAAAGATCTCATCGAGTAATATCTGACCCCAAAATTTTGCGTCAAAATTTTTATCTATAACAGCTAAAACAGTGAAAGATACAATGTGGAAAAAATGTCTACTTAATAACAAACAAAAAGAATACTTACTTCTGTGATTAATTTATTAAATGCTGGAAATGGCCACCATTCACTTCCATGCAGTAAAATATTAATATATATTAATAGAACTATAGTTTAAAATAATCACCTATATCAATATCATGCAGTAAATATAGTTTTTTCCCATAAAACTCCCGTCATAACAGGTCGTAGAATAGGCCTACAGGTGAAACCTTAAAAAAAACTCCTTCAACTTTTAAATTGGCGATATCTTTGGATTGGTGATTCTTAGGAAAAAACTTTAATTTTTGTAGATAATTTTAACAATTTTTGTCTGTGCTATATTTTTGATAAAACTTACCGTTTTCGAGAAAAAACTAAAAAAAAAAACGAAAATTTTGGCTTTGACCTTAAACAACTTTTTAGCAATCATAGGATTACTGGAGACTTTTGGCACTGTATTTCTACTGGTGTACCCAAGGTCTCTACGAAAATTTAGCTCAGTCGGAATTTTTGTTATTTGAAATGTCTATATTGATCGGACTAATACATATTTTTTTAAATTGTTTTTGGCATCAAAAAGACATTATATAGATCCTTGAATTCTGAGCAGAATGGAAAATAAAATAACTAAGGTAGTTTTATGAAATTGAAGTTTGTTTTAATACAAATGTATGAAAACAGACCTTAATTTACTTTATTGAAAGGATTATGTCTATCAAAACCTATAAGCTGTCTGCAAACACAAAACTGTTTTACCACGTGAATTGCTACTATATAAGTCACAAGATACAACTTGTTACTTATAAAAGAACCCAAGTGCCCCGTAGTTCTCTGAGGCTATCGGGAATCAATTACATTTGTTAGTTGGTGTAGAGGCTCCACGCTAGGTAGATGCACCTCTCTAAAAATTCACTTGAGACTGCTTTAGACTACATAATTTCTCGTACAAGGTTGGATACAATTTCTTGTATAATATAAATTTGTAGTATCATACAGTAAATTGTTTGGAAAATTATATTGGATGGAAAATTATCCATTTTAAAATGAAAAACAAATATTTATGGTTTAAGCCATGGGTTTTAACGATTTAAGTTTTACAGTACTTGACACTCTTGATATTTAACAGTGACAGAGACAAAAGTAATAATTAATACGCAAAATATTGCTCAAAATATTGTGCAATATTTTCTATAATATAATACACAAAATTTTTCAAAACAATAAATTTATTGTTCCATGCAACGAGTCTTAAAATTTGCTGGTATTTTGAAAAATAATTATAGTACAATGTAAAATCAATTTTTTTGTTTTCAAACGTTCATTTGTTTCATACTCTTGTACTGGCCAATCATCTCTATTCTTCGTCAATCATATAGAACCCTCTCACCAACGAGATTGAAGTAGTTGATGTGCTGAAGGAAGATCTGCAATATTAAATTGTCCAAGGACATGATACCAACAATCAGGTTCTGTCAACTTACGAATTTCCTCAATCCGATTCAAAAGTTTTCCAATTATCTTCTCTCTTAATGCAAGAAATAACATTAGTAGAGTCAGTTCAACAAAATATTCCTTTTTGAAATTTAATGGTCGATGTCAATAATCTTGCATCTATAGTTGCAGCGAGTAAGTCCAATCTTGGCATTGAAATAGTTTTTATCGGTGATACTTTTCTCTTTGCTTGAATTAGCTGAACAAAAATGCCTCTTGTGTATTTTTCGATTTTTCGAATTTTCGAATTTTCGATTTTTCGATTTTTCGATTTTCCGATTTTTCGATTTTTCGATTTTTCGATTTTTCGATTTTTCGATTTTTCGATTTTTCGATTTTTCGATTTTTCGATTTTTCGATTTTTCGATTTTTAGATTTTTAGATTTTTAGATTTTTAGATTTTTAGATTTTTAGATTTTTAGATTTTTTGATTTTTTGATTTTTCGATTTTTTTATTTTTTGATTTTTCGATTTTTCGATTTTTCGATTTTTCGATTTTTCGATTTTTCGATTTTTCGATTTTTCGATTTTTCGATTTTTCGATTTTTCGATTTTTCGATTTTTCGATTTTTCGATTTTTCGATTTTTCGATTTTTCGATTTTTTGATTTTTCGATTTTTCGATTTTTCGATTTTTCGATTTTTCGATTTTTCGATTTTTCGATTTTTCGATTTTTCGATTTTTCTATTTTTCGATTTTTCAATTTTTCGATTTTTCGATATTTCGATTTTTCGATTTTTTGATTTTTCGATTTTTCGATTTTTCGATTTTTCGATTTTTCGATTTTTCGATTTTTCGATTTTTCGATTTTTCGATTTTTCGATTTTTCGATTTTTCGATTTTTCGATTTTTCGATTTTTCGATTTTTCGATTTTTCGGTTTTTCGATTTTTCGATATTTCGATTTTTCGATTTTTCGATTTTTCGATTTTTCGATTTTTCGATTTTTCGATTTTTCGATTTTTCGATTATTCGATTTTTCGATTTTTCGATTTTTCGATTTTTCGATTTTTCGATTTTTCGATTTTTCGATTTTTCGATTTTTCGATTTTTCGATTTTTCGATTTTTCGATTTTTCGATTTTTCGATTTTTCGATTTTTCGATTTTTCAATTTTTCGATTTTTCGATTTTTCGATTTTTTGATTATTCGATTTTTCGATTTTTCGATTTTTCGATTTTTCGATTTTTTGATTTTTTGATTTTTCGATTTTTCGATTTTTCGATTTATCGATTTTTCGATTTTTCAATTTTTCAATTTTTCGATTTTTCTATTTTTTTATTTTTTGATTTTTTGATTTGTCGATTTTTCGATAAGTAAAATTTTTTACCTTAATAATTTTTATTTTGATTTTATTTAATGTAAATAAATATTAATATTTTATTCATAGTAGATGGAAATTGCAATAAATAACAAAGGGTAGATACACATTTTACTTACCTACTATTGTTATTAAACATTAATATTAGATAGATGCTGACCAGTTCTTGTCACAATATTTTTTGTTCGACGTTAAAATATCAAACTTTTTCATTAATAAGTCTCCCGAAGAGAAAACAACAAAGACGAAAATATTGTTTTTGCTTACTTGTAGGTCCATGATGAATCAATATCTCTGTCGGAGTTTTTTGGCTGAACAGATAGTTTCGAATATGTCAACTCTCACTAGGGTGAAGCGGAAGATGGGTCACGTAACTCCGGGAATTGGTGAACCGACGACAACTTCCCGCTTTGATGTCAAAAAAAATTTAATATACGACGAGGGCTCGTCGGCTTACAAAGATTGGTTAACAAAGTAAGTTGAACGGCTGGAAGTATTGTTTTTGTCTTACAAATAACGTTGGGTAGCTATATTTTTTATTTGAATTATTATTTAATTAAAAATCATTTTAATACAATGAAAATAAGGTTTTACACGATTGTAATTCTTAAATTGTTAGGTTTCTACAAAAGAAACTTAAAACCAAAATTTTTAAATTTCACCTTGGTATTTTGTGTTATAATTTTTTTGTAATTGATTTTTTGGGAGAAAGTCGTGATAGAAAATGTCTCATACAATAGTTGTAGATAAAAATATTTAGAGCATTGTATTTTTAGGTCAATAGGCTACTATGATAAATACAAAAAGTAGAGGTTGTCAATGTTTCCTAAAACTCGTCTTTTTAATCTTTTTAAGCCAAAAATATTTTTATGCTTAAACTCTAAATAAAAAAGTGGTCCTATTCAGAAATACGTAAAAAATTAATATATGTTTATGTTACACTTTTTTAGTATTTAACTTCTACGATCACTATCCAAAGAAGGCTTTTGCGTTTTCTGCAAACTGACATTAAATGACAGCTTTGTCGCTTGCCTAATTTTACTTAGTTATAATATAATAATTATTATTTTTAATAAATGATTTTTAAGTTATTTGTACGTAGTTACATGTTTTTTGTTTTATTATCCAAGTTTACATTTACTTTGAATATCAACTCATTTTTTATAATTCACGTAGATATAGGCAACACATTATACACTACTTACGACAAATGTTCAGTTATATATCTATTTCTTAAAATAATGTGATCGTAGAAAAAATCTTGTGTGTATTTTGAGCGAAAAGTACGTTGCCACAGATTACCGCGCAGCTAAGTATCACTGTCCGCTCTTAATACACAAATAGCTATTTCGATATGTCCACTATTCTCTTCAATGCATTTATCTATACTTTAGACAAAATATCGTCTCAAATTAAATAAAACCAATTGTTAAATAAAAACTTACTATTGCATGGATTTCTTCTCAAAGTTAGACGCGAGTATTTATTGGATTCTTATAAACTCGTTGTTCATGGATCTTCGTTACACCAAAATCAAGATGATTAAAGTCTGGGCTACGTGCTGGCCAACGGCATTGCGTTACACGGTCAATCCAGTGTTTGAAGGTACCTGTGAGATCGTTGATAGGCAATATAACAAGTTGATTTAACCTGGCAGATAGACAATAATTTTGCCAGTTACCTATTCAACGGAACTTAAAAAATAAAATTTGTTTTAGGTTGATTTTAAGGAAAGTCTTTAAGGTCAATAAAATAAATTTGTATTTGAAGTGTGCAGGAAAGGATAATATTAATACAACCTTATCGTTAATAAATATTCGTAGAATCGTTATAAAGTAAAATAAATCTGTATTGATCATTTAAAACAAAAAGTATAGGACAAGTCATAAAAGTATTTAAAATAGATATTTTTATAACAAAATAGACATATAAACAGAACCATTTAAATATGATAAGCATAATTGCAAAGATATGCAAACTATATATAATTAGATTATAATCATCTTGAGTTTATTTGAAATAAACCAGTTATCAGCTTTTCTTTCAATTTCTATTGATATGTCCGGTAGAGAGTGAAAATGGCCAGAATAGTATCATCAGCAAACAATATACCCTTATCCGGTTACAAAGGTCATTTACGTATATTAAAAAGGGCAATGGCCCCAAAACGAAACCTTGCAGTACACCTTGTTTTATTTCTCTAAATCTGGAAATATTATAATTGGATACAAAAGCTTGAGAGCGGCTACGTAGATTAGTTACAATATTGTCAAGACAACTTGACCTCTGAGGGGTAATTCTTATAAAGTCGTTTATGCTAATTAATAAACCGGATAAATCATATAAATTAAATGATCTAGAACAACGGAATTAGATCTAATGTCAAAGTAAAAATCACCCAAAATTATCAACTATTTGTTTTGATTGTGTCGTCTATAAAACTCTAATAAAGCTTTCTCAAGAAGATTTCAACATTGCTCGTACTACTAGAACGGTAAACTAATATGACTAATAAACGTAAATCTATAACCTCTATTCTACAAAATTGTGAATAAATTTCATCACAAAAATCGCTTAAATTCAAAATATTATATTAAGAACTTTTTGAAAATATAATTTTAGGCTGGTTAAGCCATTATTAAGACTCTATAAACAAAATTGACTTACACAACTGCCAATTACTTTGAAATTAATAATATTAATGATTATCATTATGTTGTTTTCTAATTTGCAAATTGGATTAATGCACAAATTATTTTTTAAAGAAATAAGTTTTTTGTAGAAGTACAACTTTAGAAGACATCTATCGACATTACGATCAGGCTGAAAATAAAATTGATGTGGTAGAAGAACCAGAAGAAAATATCGAAGACTTCGAAGAAGGATATAATATGCAGCACACGAATAAACAACTAGAAGTAAAAATGCCTGTCAACCATCGTCATGAAGAAACATATTACTCAGGTACAGAATATTTTATTGAAACAAAAACTATTGGATAAGATAAAAAATGTATTTTTTTCTGTCTTTACATTCATATTGGACCATTTTAAATTACTTTGCTTGTATAAATATTACCTACACTTTTTAAAATAGTCCTTTAATATTTACTTTTTCAGTGTAAGTATCTTGTTTTTCTTTAATCATTTTAATTCTTTTAACCATTTTACATTATTTCTAGAAGTAACTAATATACGTTATAGGTAATTAATCAAGTATTTAGCTAAAAAAATATAATAAAATACCTACCTACTTATAATTTATTATTAAGCAATGACTTAAATTATAGGAGGATACTCCAATAATTATGGTCCATCACCCGATTACCACTACTCTAGTGGAGGCGGTGGAGGCTATTCGGGAGGAGGTCACTCAGCCGGAGGAGGTTATTCGGGAGTAGGTCATTCCGGTGGTGGAGGTGGTTATCAAATACACCAACCAGAAAGTAAATATAATACTTATTCTACCACCAAATAGATATTTTAGAAATCTAAATATAAATGGAAATATTTTAATTTTAGGTCACATTACATATGAGCAGCCTGAACCAGAATACCACAGTTCACCTCCAGCCAAATACCATGTCTACAACTATTATAGTAAAGATAAGGATTTAGCGGATCTATTTGAAATTGCTCTGACAGCTTTGGCGTTTCTGGCATTCAAAATGTTTGTTGTACATGTTATTATGTGCATAGCTTCCGTAGTAAGTACACTAATAATATTATTAGTCGTCGTAGAAAATGTTTCATAAAAGAGTTATAGTAAACAATATTTTCTACAATGTATCTCTTTGAATCACTAAGCTTTTTTAACTCGTATAGCTGCTATTAAAAAACTACTTGAGATGATGTATGTAATATTTCCTATAGAATACCAATGCGACAACAACAGCTATCAGTATGGCCATGAGTATGAGTCCCACAGCTACTGGAACAGGCACTGGAACTGGAACAGGTACTGGAACTGGTACTGGTATGGATACAGGAACTGGAACAGGTACGATGAGTCCGGAAACCACGAGCGCGGGAGGTGGAAACACGGGCGGTGGTACCACCAGTACTGGTGGTGGAACTACCGGTACTGGAGGTGGTACTGCTGGTGGTACAGGTAACGGTGGTGGGGGCACTAGCACAGGAGGTGGTACTACGGGTACCGGAGGTGGCACAACAGCAACAGGAGGAGGAATGGATAATAATACACCTAGCACAGGTGGAGGTACAACTGGAACTGGAGGTGGAATGGATGGCGGTACCACTGGAAACGACGCCGGAATGGACGGTGGTACAACCAGCACAGGTGGAGGTTCCACTGGGACTGCAGGTGGAATGGATGGTGATACTGCAAGCACAGGTGGAGGTCCCACTGATACTGCAGGTGGGATGGATGGTGGTACTGGAGGCACAGGTGATGGCATGAACGGTGGTACAGGCACAGGAAATGGAGGAAACGATGGTGACGGAACTGGTACAGGCGCTACAGGTAGTACTTCTCCAGGTGACGGTGATGATGGCGGAGATGACAATTCTGCTGCTACTGGTGCCGGTACGGGAACTGATGGTGGACGCGATACGTTTCAATTTAGGATCAAAAGGACGGCTGGACCAACAATCACCAATCCTAATAATATGATTATAAATGAATTGGCTAGAAAAGTATTAGTCGCGATTGAGAGCGTTTTGATAGCACACAGTGATGATGGAGTTTGCTTGAGGAAAACGCTATGTGAGAACAATAAGTGGTCCAGAAGTCTCGAAGGAAGGCATAAAATATTTATTCCTTTGTGGAGGTAAGGTTTTTCTATTCTTTAATTATCAATTAATTTTAATTTTGTAATAGCTAAATATTTTTTATTATACCTAGATGTTTTTCGTAACTTTCTTTGAGTCGCTTTTTATGATAGAAAATTGCATAAATTTTATAAATCTTGTTTATTTTTATATCAATCATGTTACTTCAACATTTTCTGCAATGCAAATGTTTTTTTCTGTTTCGGAAACAGTCTGTAGTCGCTAGGGTCTAAGTCTCGCGAGTAGAATGGATATCATACCAATTATATCCCGCTTGTTGAACAGTAGTAATTGAAAGACATGAAATATTAGGACTAGGAGCATTGTCTTAATGTAATAGGACACCTTCACGAAATGTTTCACAATATTTTTCTTTAATGCATCACTTAATTTTGAAATTAGTTCTGCGTAAACTATGGTGACTCCATTTTGTAGGTGGTTCAAAAATTTATATACAGCAGTATAAATTGTCCTAATATTATTGAATAATTACATAATTACTTATCAGTGCTCCAGTTATTTGATTAGTAATGCTAAAGTTTTTTGTATTTCAGAATGTTTTGTTGTCAAAACCAGTAGCACAGCTGGTTTTTTTGTCATACTTCTTTTGAGATGCATCGTTTGTTGACAGACCTACCTTTAAACCAAATTGGTTTTCAGAAACTATGTATTATTTTATTTAATAGAACTTAATCCTATTATGCTATTGATTATGTCATGTAGAAAGGAACAACACCTTCATGGGTTTTCATCCCGTGATTCGTAAAAATGTTCATTAAAAATAAAAAAAAGCTAAGTGCAATTAAATTAGAGGGTGTAAACTGGAGATAGGGATGAAGATGCAACCCTTACAATTTTTAAATTATATCTCGAAAATAAAGAAAAATTCAGGTATAGGTAGTTAATAGGAATTTTTATGCGATTTCATATCGAAATAGTTCAATTAATTTTTTTTTCATGTGAAAAAATATAAAAGAGGCAATATATAAAATTTTTTGTTGTATTTTACTTTTTTGCTTTTTTGTGCTTTCTGAGAAGAGGCATTACTTTATACAAAAAAAGTGTATTATATTTTCTTTAAAATGTTGGGTTAAAAAAGTTTTTAGCATAAAAACGGACTGAGATATAGCCACTAGCCACCCAAACTTAGCTTTTTTTACGATTTTTATTTCTGATTTTTTACAACAAAATTTATTTTAATTTAAAAAAGTATTTTTAGTTAAAATTAATATTTTTAGGAATATATAAAATTGACCGATTTATAAATAAATTGACAACTAATAATTATTCTCAAACATTACGATCTAAAATAAAATTAAATAGGCCTTTTCATCACAATTTTTTTTTGTGTGCATGCATCAGTATCAGCCATCTTTTTCGACCTGATTATTGTAAACAAGTATGTTAAAATGTCCACGTGAAAAAAATTATAATCGATAAATATTAATTTTAAGTGTATTCGTTTCAAAAAAGGGATAAAAAAGTAAAGTAATAAATGTCTTAATTAATTTTTGCAATCAATTAATTATGTTATCTTTATTGAAAAGAAAAACTAAACAGTATTGTTATGATTATGTAAAAGTGACACACGGTATAAATTATTATTTTATAAAAAGACTTTCCTGCAATATCGTAAAAAACTGTCAAATCATTAGGCAAAATACATATTAAAACATGTTTAAAATGAGCATTATAAGTGAAAAAATGTGGTCGAAGGGACAAAGGTTTTCAATCGATTGATAAATGATTTACTAAAGATACTTATATTTGTTTACTACATTTTCAAGGAGAAAGTGGTTCAACAGAAGAAAATCCTTGTCTGGTATTACACAATATTTTTTATTATTAAATACTACTTCGGTATACACAGTAATATTATTAAAAATGTAATGTTGGTCCTTAAAATATTAAATAATTTATGTTATTAATAATTATACTCGTGATTAACTTTCATGTTATAGTGTTTTTGCAATTATTTATAGTTGGTTGGCATAATCAATTAATATAGAGTTATAATTATTATTTCTTTTCATTAATTTTTTACACAGTTAATATGTATTGAAACCTAACCTCTTAATTACCACACTTTTCTCCGTGTTCTGAACGTCCACGTCACTTCAACAACCTTTTTAATTGCTCACAACTATGTGCTTCCACAGAGTTATAAAAATGTAAATCACCTTCAACGATTTTTTCTAATGATTGATTTGTATGTAGAGATAATATTGCTTTTCCAGCCATCAAAACGGTACGAAACTTTGGAATTGGCGCTATTTCAACATGGCGGCTGCGCTTGCGCTCATCACATGATGAAAAGGCATATTGATTGTCTTTTTTACAATAACAGTTGTCATTATATACTAATTATTCTTATTTTAATTGTTAATTATTTTCATTGTTTTATATCTCTCCAATAATGCAATCGAATTAAATATCGATTTCTTTGTCTATGTCTTCAAGAACATCGTCTCCTGTAATCCTTGTCTCTCGTAGATTTTCGCAGTTATCATCCACGCATTGTTTGCAAAATAGTGAACAAGTTATTTCTTTCTACAACTATAGATTCTGTGCTAACCTGTGGTATATCCACAAGTCACTTTCTTGAGCAAAATCTCTGACACAGGTGATTTATTTGTGCAAATCGCAATCAATTTTTTTTTATTTTTTCCAACCCCAATCCAGTGGGTTTAAATGATTACCGTTCCGCTGTTGCATTTGGAAATACATGTATAAGTTCTTAAACTATGGTGCTTGGTGAAATCGCGTGTTTGTAATTGGACAAGATAAATATTTTGCACTTTTTGATAGTTTACAGAAAAGCTGGAAGCGACAGTGGCCTAAGGTCTTATTTAGCTCTGTCCCATAAAGAATAGATAAAATATATTCTAATGCAGATTATTATTACTTTTTCAGTTGCATTGTCGCGTAAAACCGTGTCAGTATAAGATTTTAATTGTAAAATAATTTTTTTCTACGATCACTCTCCAAAGTGGGCTTTTGCGCTTCGAAATAAAACCCGAGAATAACAAAACGTCGAGAAGCGACAGCTTTTTCGGAACGTTTGATGTTTGTGGGATCGATTTGCGGTGACCTTGAAGACACCATAATTACACTGCACGCAAGCTGATTTGGCTCGCAGTCACGCGATCGCGCGGAAATTTGTAATTTACACTGCTCAACTCTAAATATGTTTTTAGTAAGGGAGTAAATTTTTATTTTTCATTTAAAATTATATGCCTTTGACTGCAAAAAGACTCATTCCGCTGCCACTTTTGGAATCACAACTTTCCGTCCCAGCAGCATCACTTTTCGCTTTTAATACACAGTGAGCTATTTTCAAATGTTGTGACTTTGTTTATAAATAGTTTTACACATTCATAAAATATTGAATTTTTATTAACAAATTAGCTTAAAATACTTTTTTTATTAAATAAAAATCAATTTTGATGTAGAAATATAATAAATAAATCGGCATTAAGTTGACGCCATGAAAATAGAAAAAATAATAGCCCAAGTTTGAGGGGCTATATCGTAGTCCATTTTTGTCAACAAAATTTTTTCAATTCAATTAAAGGAAATTTATTTTATTTTTTTATATAAATCAATGCCTATAACTATCTCTGCTCAGAAAACAAAAAAAAAACAAGAATGAAAAAATTGTATTTTTGCATTTTCTTATATTTTTTTAATATTATTTATATTTTGTTTTAAATATTTTAAATAAACTATTTCTATGCGAAATAGCATTTTTTTATAAATAATTTCCTACTAGCTATACCTGAATTTTGATTGGTTTTCTAGATATAGTTAAAAAAACTATAAGGGTTGTAATTTTACCCTTATTTTTAATTTCCACCCTGGATTTCAGGGTTTTTTAATCTTTGATGACCATTTTAATTATTCATGTGATAAGAATTCACGAAGGTGATAGTTCCTTATTCCCTCATTTTTAAGGACATAATAGCCTATATGTAGTACTGATCGTAAAGTTACTTATATATCTTTAAACATATTATTGTCCAATGTACAAATAGTACAGGATCCGTAAGTAAGGTCGACCTTCATCCATCTGTTTAATAGATAAAAGTTTTTTTTAATAAATAAAATATATTTATAAATATACCGCAAATGGGTAGCCTAGGAAAATACGTTAACGGCCATTTTTCACTTTTTTTTGTATAAAGATAAGAAAAGTATAGGAATTATAATAAAAGTTGCGTGCGATGTCATTCTCTATAGTTTTGTCCCTATACATAATTTCTCTAAAATGGACCTAATTCGAGATATTGTGGAAAGGTGCAAATTTAGAATTTTGAAGATAACTCAAAAATCGATGAGAAGAAAAAACTCCTAATTTTAAACTTAAGCTTTAATCCATCCTGGGGTGAGCTGATTAAAGTTTGGGTATAGTCGAAGCATCTGGAGAATGATTTACGGGGTGTCCTTTTTTTAATAAATAGTCATGACCGTATTTTCTGGATACCCATTTGCGGTATATTTATAAACATATTTTATTTATTAAAAAGAAACTTTCATCCATTAAATAAATGGGTAAAGGTCGACCATACTTTGGATCTTAAGACCAAAAATGTAATGTCATTTCACACTCTCTGTCAGCCCTCTCCCTTAATTCCCTACTTCAAAAAAAATTCATATTAAAAATTTAATTTTTTTTTCCCGGAGGTAGTGGAGTATAACGGTTAGAACCGATATTTCGTTATTTCGACACAAATGTCAGGCCGATGTATTTAAACGATATTTATTTATGTTAATGGCCGTCTGATTTTATAAGGTATGCTTTGTTAATTATATGTTATTAAATATCTATATTTTGTGCAATGATTTCTTGAACACTTTATCTTATTGGTTCTTTCAGTATGATTACCTTGAGCATGATAAACAGAATTGGTACTTTTTTTTTTTGAGTTGGGCATCACTATATTTAAAGCTTATACACTTAACTCTAGATTAGTGATAAAACTATAGAAAACGACCAACAAATTATACTCAAAACAGGTTTTAGATAAGGTAGTTATCAAATTCTAATTTACATAAGTTTGTACATAATTCAAATTTAAAACAGTTTACTGAATAAATGAATTGCACTTATCTGTAGGTACATAAGGAAAGTTAAAGGTAAAATCAGGTATTTGTTACTTCGCTTCAAACTGTAGAGGTACACAATATTACATCCCGATCAGGCAACTTTCACCAAGGGCTTCGGAACCCCTATTCACAATTCTCATTTGTGACTGCACCGTGAATGATCTAGAGATGAAAAGTGAATGATCTTTGAACTTCAAGATAAATGGTTTTTATTGTATTTGTAGATATGAAACATGAATGATCTTCAGTATTCGAACTTGATCTCGAACCGTATGGAAATAAAACCGTCTGTAGATACTCATCAGCTAAAAAGGGTTAAAATGTTATGATAGGAGAAAGGAAATTTGAAAAGGATTTAGATAGAATGCTTATTAAATAAATAATTTCACAGAGACTAAAATTAATATGAAAAGGAAAATCTTATGTAATATATAGTTAAATATAGTAAAGCACAATATCTTATTCCAAAAAAATAATATATAATTTTATATAAAAGTTAACATGTGTCATTCATTGCTGTATAGAGGTTGTGTTTAAAATTTTACAATTTGTTAAAGAAATCATTGCACAAAATATAGATATTTATTAATATATTATTAACAAAACATACCTTATAAAATCAGACGGCTATTAACATAAATAAATATCATTTAATACATCGAATAAATCAAATAAAAATCTCACACAAGGCATAGACGACAAATGACATTTGAGCAAGTGGTAAATGTGTCGAAATAACGGTTCCAACCGTTACACATTTGATCTAATAGCACTATCTATCATAACCTAAAAAAAACTTCCTAATGTGGTTTCCCAAATTTCTTTAGCACTGTTCCAAAAAACTATTTAGATTTTCATACGTATTTACGGACTTGTACTCTCTTCCCCTCCTTAAATGATCTTATTTTGTGCATTTTGTCTCTTGGACTATACTGCCCTTTTAAATGGATTGACAGATCCAAACTGGTTTTTAATATTCTGCATAACTTCACTTCCATGTCAACGTTTAATTTTCTAAAGCCTGTAGAGCCAGGTTGATTATTTAAACAAATTTTATGCCGTATTCCATTTGTAAAAAAAAATGGAATTGCTTCAGTAAATCTTGTATATGCATCCACTATAATAAAATACGGTGTTCCTTGAATAGGACTTGCGAAATCAATCTGGATACGTTGCCATGGTTCACGAGTCCCATTGTTGTAGTTTAGTTTTCGGTTGTTTTTTTTACAGCAATGCTCACATAAACTAACCAGATTTTTTATATCTACATTTCCGAATATATCCAATATGAACTTCTTTTACTTATTTAACTCCTACATCGTCTCCAATTTTTTGTATTTACTAGTAACAAAATTTTATTCAATTTTTCATTACTTTCTTATAAAAACCAACATAAAAACGCAAACGATGTTTAGAATATAGAATATTTTATTATAAGGTTTATGTTATAATATTTAATTCATATTGAATAAATTAGTTTTATATTATTCTTAAAGATACGACATTGAAACTTGAAATCTAATATTTTTGCTTTTAGTTTGGGTATGAGCTGGTTGTCGGGAAGAATTGTGAAAAATGTGGCTCCATCTACTTCAATGCTCGACACCCTTAAAGCCTCTATATTGGGTTTAGGAAAAGCCAATTGTGAAATCATATATCAGAAATGCGATCTGAGAAGACATGTTTTGGAGCGGAGGAAAAGGCGAAAGAGACGTAGAAGGGGGACTTCATAGTAATCCGTTTCTATTTATAGAACTACTAACTCAAACAGGTTTTAATAAAAATGTTAATTTATTGATTGTAAAAAGTATTTATTATATTATTTATTTTTTATGGTTTATTATTTATTTACCCAATGACCTACTAATATTTGCATATCTTTGAAAATAAGATGTTTACTATATTATTTGATGTAATTTTTTATTTATTAATCTGTTTTCTGTATCTGTAAGCGTTTTAGCTATTTCGCATCGCCACTTTAGGAACAACACTGTTAGAACCCAATTATGCATAAGAATTAGTTTTTAAACTCAGAAAATAATTAAAATTTATAGAAATAGAAATGTTATGTGAGCCATTTCATTATTCAGTCATGCTCTATCCCTACAAGTCCCTCTCTGTCTTATTTGGCCTTTAAGGCTCAACTTGTCCAATTATTATACATAATTAAACCCCTTAAGACCAAACCTATGGGACGACTATGGCGGAGGTGATTTCGATGATGTTCGAGAAAGGACGAGATAATATTTCTGGACTGTTCGAAATATTTCTGGTTTGGTGGAGAAGCTTCTCGACTCCACCAAATTTTAGAAATTTGTATATAAATATTGGTGGATGAGCCATCAGGGTAGTCAGTTATATATGGACAGTGAAGATAAATAGTAATTAGTATATAGACAGTGGTGAATATAAATAGTGATCAGTTTAAGGACATTCGAAGTATATATAAATTAGAATAATTGTGTTATAAAATAAATAAGTGTTTAAATATTATTAATAAATAAACTGTTGTTTTAAAGTAAACAAAAATTAACGAAAAATATATATTTAGACTAACAATTATATATTGGGTCCTCGATTAGCCAGTAATGAATTGCTGCAAGGTAGAATATTGAGCCCTATTCTTTACCTTATTTAAACTTATGTTTTTGTAAAATCCTCCATTAATTCAAAAATTTTACAATTTGTAGACGATGTATTTATAATGATAATATAGAGATTACAGAAGGTATTAATAAATTTAATAACAGTTACACAAAAATATGTAATTGGGCTTTTCAACATGGTTTGTCACTTTCCATAACTAAAACTCAGGTATGTATTTTTACTAGACGAAGGAAAAACGCTCTCGTTGAAATTACATTAAATAGCATACATTTTCCAATAAAAAGATCAGTCAAATATTTGGGTATAATTTTAGACAAAAAACTTAGTTGGAGAGAACATATAGAAAATCTGCTTGTGAAGGCCGAAAGAGGTATAAATTTATTAAGAGCACTATCTCACGCAACTTGGGGTGCCGATATATAGATCGTACATAAGGTCAATTATTGATTACGGTTGCATTTTTATGCAGATGCAGCGACTTGTCACCTAAAAAAATAGACATTATTAACAAATGTTTAAGACTATGTATCGGGGCACTCAGAAGCACACCTATCGACAATCTTTTCGTACAATGCTCAGAATGGCCAATATCTATTAGAACGAAAATATTATGTAACTGCTTCTTAATAAATATCTAGGCAAAAAATTCCATATTATTAGACGAAATATTTCACCTTTCTATTTTGGACCTTACAAACAAATATTGGAATAAAAAGAAAATACTATGTATAATAAAATGTTATAGAAATTTTTCGGATTACCAACAAATATTACATCGTAATTCTACAAAACCAACCTATTTACTTGTAATAGAATACTTAGAAAATTTTCAGATTAGTTTTATAAGGAATTATGAAAATTATTTATTATCCATAAGAAATTCAATTTTTCCAATGCACAACCAATATTTACAGATGCGTCTAAAAATGATAATGAAGTTGCATGTGCAATTTACGATCCCAAAAATGACATTAAACAGATGTTTAATCTAAATATAAATAAGAGTATATATACGGCATTATTGGAGGCATTAAAATATATAAGTACTATACCTGATGAAACATCCTTTGCTATCTTTTCAGATATCCAAAGTGCACTACAGAAATTGAGCCACTTACAAACAAATACTAAAACAAATTTACATCATTATAAATATAATAACAGAAATTATTAATTTAAAAAATAGCGGAAAGAGAATTCATTTGAGCTGGGTAAAAGGACATTGGGATAGCTGTAAATGAAATGGTTGACAAATATGCAGAAAAGGCCATTGAAGAAGGTCAAGAAACAACATATCTCTGTACATCTCTGGATTTAATGTCGGCCACCAAAATTATTCACAAAAAGTAGTGGAGAAAATGCTATATTGAAAGTAGAAAAGGTTTGTTTTTCAAGAGTATTCAAAATGAGATACCAAACAAGCATGGTTCACTTTGGCGCCTGTTGGAAAATTAGTCGTTAGACAAATTTGTAGAATGAGGTTTAATCACGCTTTAGTTCCATCTTATCTGTACACAATAAAATTAAAGGATCATCCTTTTTGCACTTGTGGAGAAATAGGAGCTATCGAACATAAAATGTTAAATTGCCAACTAATACAAACAACATCTTTTGTGAAAAAATTAAAAATCTCTTCTAGTCTATGTTATGTTGTTATGTTGATAATGGGGTGTTAATACACTGCGACCTAAAAGATCTATTGTGCCCCCTTCTGTCGCAACTGCACTAAGGAAATGTCTCAATGCCTATAGCGACCCTTCCAATCCTATTTTCTCAAGGAAGTGTAGGATTTGAAGTGGCTTCAAGTTAGGTAAGTCTCCCTCTTCTATTTGATATACTCCTAGATATAGTGCCCTTGGATTCTGAAGTGCTACACATTCAGTTAGGATGTGAGTGGAGGGTTCATCATCCTCCTCACATAATCTGCACTCACTATCCTCTACTACTCTCAGTTTACTTAGGTGTCCTTTTAGTCGGCAGTGCCCGGTAAGGATCCCTGTTACAATACGTAGCCTGTTCTTGCTCAGGCAGATGCAGGCTTCCGATCTTTTTTGGTTATATTCACCCAGAAGTATCTTGGCCTGTCTCAGCCCCAAGAGATTGTTCCAATTATCGGTTCTTCTACTACCCAATTCTTTTTTAATCTCTTCTAATAATATGTTACTGCTGATACCGCAGAACGGCTCAGGTCCTACAAATGGTGTTTGAGCCCCTTTCCTTGCAAGACTATCTGCAATCTCGTTACCCTGTACCCCGTTATGTCCCGGGACCCAAGTGAGAGTAACTCTATTTTTCTCGCCTAGCTCATTCAATTGTTCTAGGCATCTCCCACTCTTCTAGTCTAAGTCACCCATTTAATTCAACTTAATTAATAGCATAACCTATAAATTTTTATATTTTATATGCATTAGTAGAGCACATACACAATATAAAATAAAAAGTGCAAATAAAAATTAAATTACAAATAAAATTGTAAATAAAATAAAAACTCACCTTCACAAACCGTGGTCTACCTGTACATGTATAAATCGCCTAGGACGACCGTTAGGCGTAAAAGTGTCCTTGTATCTACCCTTTTCCAGTTCCCTTCAATAAAAAAAAAATAAAAAAAAAATGAATAAAGAAGCAAAATGTATATTATATAATATATAATTAAAAAAATGTATATACAAATAGGTAATATATGTTGAAGTTGTAAATGTAAAAAATGAGTAAAATCGACAACATAGGCGAATGAACTGAATGTTCGTAGTCATACAGTCCTAAGCAAAAAAAAATAGTTTTTAAAATAGAAAACTTTGATTTTTGCGGCTAGGATTGATCAGCACATGGATTCTTATGTGCGAACTCGACACGTTACGTGTTAAATAGAGAGGGACATTACATAAGAATCTCAGTCTCGACATATGCTGTATTGAAAGATGAGAATCCCACTGCTGAATCTAAAATGTCTTCATATTGATAAGAAGTTTGACTGTTGTCATTACAAGTGACATAACACCATTTAGGTAGAATGAAGAAAATATGCTATGACGATGCTAAAGTGTCCACGCCTTTGCATTATACTTGTACGTCATATGTCAAACTGTATCTGCTGTAACTAGTCAGTTTTGATGAGAATAAATGCCATTTTTTTAAATAGCATCATTTAAATGATATTAAATTATTTTCATTCCGTCAGTCTTCGAATATTCAATTACTGATTTCGAGTACGACTCAAGTCGCCATTTTCATTATAGTTTTCTGTCACTCGAAGTGGGTCCATCTGTCATATAGCAAAATAATGTTCATTTCGTTTCTACTTTATTCTATATCGAAGTATAACACTATCTAAATAGTAAAAGTCAAGCCAAATGATTCAAAACCTTGAAAATAATTTTAAAGTAAAAGAAGTATTAAAAAAATTGGCAAGAAATGTTAAAAGAGTATAATTATTTAAATTTGAAGGTAACAATTGAATTAAAAAGATAATGGTTAGTGAAAAAGAACAAAGAAGAGATTAGTTATTAACAAAGAACAACAAACCATCCTGTCATAACTTCCATGGCTCGTATCGCACCAATTTCAGTACTACAATTTTGAAAGAGAAAAGAGTGAGCTAGTCTCGAAAACACCGAAGCCTTCAACATCGATGCTGTTCAAATAAAAATAACAAAAGTAAAAAGTTTAGATAACTTCTACAAAAATGTCGCCTATACTTTTACAAAAGAGGGTAATGTACTGTTAAGATGGATTTGTTTATTGATACAAGTTGTTGTAGAATTAATAGAGTTTTTTAAATCTATAGATCTTCTAGAAGATTTAATTTTACATAACAGTTGAAAATATTTTAGACAAATTAATTTTCTAGCAGTTTTAAAATTATTGTAAAAATTCCGTGTAAGCCAATTTTACATAATACATGATACATTTTAATTGAGTTATAAGAACTTACCTAAATGGTTTTGCAAGTGCATTCAAATAAAGAAGTTGAACACTTAAATACTTCTCCAGAAAATACGAGACTGGATGTAAAGAATAGACTTTTTGCAACACCTTGATATATTTATCATCAAACAATATACTTATACGTATTTATTTGAAACATGTTGCAAATTTTTTATGATAAATAAAAAATGCCTAAATTGAGTATCAACAAGAGAACATTTCTGTTGACAAACGATTCCGTATGGACTGTTGGACACCCGCCCCTACTATAATTTTGAAGTTGATATTTCATTGTCT